GACAAACACATCGGCTGTGTTGTTTCCGGTCTTATGGCCGACTCACGCACGATGATCGATAGGTAAATAATAATAATTGGTTAGACACAGTTAACGTTGTCATAGGGCGCGCGTGGAATGTCAGAATCATTGGTTTGTTTATAACGAAAGGATGACCGTAGAATCCTGTGCACAAGCTGTCTCAAATTTAGCAATTCAATTTGGCGATTCAGACGATGACGGTGCGGCAATGTCACGGCCGTTTGGTGTAGCGATACTTTTTGCGGGTATTGATGAAAAAGGTCCTCAGCTCTATCATATGGATCCTTCTGGTAAGTGTTTCGGGGTGAAGTGTCACATTTCATGATTCTGTCGATAGGTACATTTGTTCAGTTCGATGCCAAAGCCATAGGATCTGGCTCTGAAGGGGCTCAACAAAGTTTACAGGAAGTGTATCATCGTAGTATGACTTTAGCAGAAGCAACGACCGCGTCTCTCACCATTTTAAAACAAGTCATGGAAGAGAAATTGAATTCTACCAATGTAGAGGTGATGACAATGACGCCTAAGGGATTATATCATATGTTCACTAAGGAAGATGTTGAAGAGGCAAGGGCAAAGATATATAGAGATTTGATGCTATACAAATATCTGATCTTTTTTTTATTATAATACCTACTTCTGGCTGTTTGTCTGTCTTGTCTCCTTGTATTAATGCCCCCCCTCCCCCACCCACCCAAATATAGCATAGTGTATAACTTAAAAATCTACTGTAGTCTAATTTCATTAGTACTCTCCCTATCAAAATGACCACATTGTATAGCATAGTCTCTATTCTCTATCTTACAGGCAGTTAATAAACGGTTATGTGTTTTAGGCTTTAAAAAATGTAGCACCATTGGAACAGTCTCGAGGTGATACCCCAGCTACAGGATCCGGTGTGCAGGCAAAAACCAGTAGTGCTTAATTCTTCACATTATTCTAATATTTTGTCAACTTTTTGCATTTTGTTTTCTAAATAAATAATGAACTGCATAATGGGGACATCCCGGCTTCATTTTTTATTTCTTATCTACAAAGTACATTAAAAATAAAAAGGCCTGTCTGTCCTCAATTTTTATTTGCGAGTAAAATAAACCCAAAATAAATTACTTTTATGTCTTACTAACCTATCATAGCACATTTTATATCTGTGATACGCGGGCATAAAGTACCACTTTATGCCCTAGGGCATTAA